TGTCTTGGCATATTCTGTTCAACGAGTCATGGAGAGATTGTACACGGATTGCCATTTGTGAAATTCTTGGAGGACACTCCAGCTCTAATATTCAAACTCGATGCATCCACTAGCTCATTGGCACAACTACTTTCTTTTCCCATCTGTTAAAATGGCCCTATGCCCACTGATGTGGTGACATGCCAGTTTCGGTAGGATGTACAACCCAGCAAAGCTGAATGGTTTGGATGAACTCATGAGTCTACAAGATAAAATCTGAACCTTCTAGTCAGTACCAGGATAGGAACTAAGTGCAGTGTACAAACGTGGGCAATACTATTGCAGAACGCTTCTCCAGCTGAAATCTGTCAGATCTGATGGGAAGTGACACAGAGTGAATATATGCTTATTGCCATGCACTTGGCACATATGAGGATGCAAGCAATGAACTGTTGATTTTCTATGGTAGTCTGTAATGTAGTCATTACATTATTGAGGCTTTTTTATTTTCTCAGGCAAGTTTTATAGTTTAAGGTCTTCACTGTGGTTTCTGCATATTTTATTGCATTGTCACATATTTGCTTTAGATGCTTGCTTTGATCTGCATCCTGAGTGGTATTGAATACACATTTTTATAACTGTTATAAGGCTTATGCTTGCAAGAAATTCCACTTTTTCTTAGTTCTGCTTTTTGAAGGCTGTCCTTGTCTGTGCCACCCTTTGGTAGTTTTGTTTCTGGAAGGAAACCAGAATTCTTTTTGCATCCTGCCAGAAGATGAGCAGCACTGTAATGCTCTTTAACAGGGTTTCTGAAATGTCGTGTACTTCTATGTAAATATACTAGCACTGTGGTTCTGTCAGTGACAACACCAGCTTTGTGGTGGTATCTTTAAAAGAAACCTTTTCCCACCATTTTTGAGGAAGCTGGAAACACTAAGAGTTGGACTCAATGATCTTGTGGGTCCCTTCCAACTCAGAATATTCTGTGATACTGCTTCTCACTTCCCTATAATCCCTTTACAACTACCCAATGCTGCAAGTGATCTACAAATGTCTACAAACGCTGATCACTTGCCTCAAGACAGGCTGTAATTTGACACAACCACTTAAGTGGCAGCACCACCTCAGATTCTCAGCCTTCAGGAAACTGATATCTTCCACCAAGGAAGATTTCTCCCTAGCAGAAGTTTCCTTGCAGTGTCAGTGGTGTGGGCACTAGCAGAAGAGGTCGTAGGCAGTGGAATTACAAGATTGATACTTTTCATCCTTTCAGACAGCCTTTCTTGTTTCTGGGTGAAGTAGTGTCTGTTACTACTCTACGGACAATAGATAATCTTAGATTAAATTGCAGTCAGATCCAGAAAGGATTTCAAACTGCTTTGTCATACTAGCTGCCATCTGGTTAGAGCATTTGAAATGTAGGTAGTTTACATCTCTGCATTGACGGTGGTGGTAGCAGCAACTTACAGGTGTTCATGCACTGAGCTGCTGAAGTGCTGTTCGAGTACTACAGGTTCACAACAGAGAACAGGGAAGATGCTTTACTCAGGTTTTAACTTTACATTTTTCTATCTGTTTCCTCTCTCAGAAGGATGAGACTATACTTAAACCATCCAGATTGCAAGTACTTTGAGCAACTAGTGGCAAAGCAATAAAATGAATTAAATTTTGTTGCTGCTCATACCATGATTGGTCTTGTTCTCTGTGACTCTCAGCCTTGGAGGATACTATAGTTATCCTGGTTTTCCTCACATCTCTGCAGGCTATCCTTTAAACTATCAAGTTTGCTTTTTGGGCAGTGTGTTTCTTTTTCAGATTGAAAAATTAGGAGTGGCTGACAGCAAATAAATTACTTCTTATCTCAATTTCTCTTTAAAGCATAGAACAGCTACACTCGTAGCCACATGACTTGGGTCTTCCTTAAAGTAATAGTGTTGTGAATTAGTAGTAAATACAGTGCTATAATGGAAGAGGATGGCAGTACTTAACAGCACCACAAGATGTCATTCAAACAGTTTGTGGTGTAGACTGAAACTCAGCGAAACTTGGGTTTCTTAATTTCCTGCTAGAGGAAAACCCCCAATGAACAGCAAAAGTAAACTCATATGGTAGCATGTATTTCCTGCCAATTTAGCTTCCAAGTTTTATGGCTCTGAAATCAATTTGTAATTCCTCTTTAAATGTTAAATTTAAACTCATTTAGAGTTTATGCAATAGCGTGTCCTAAAATAAGCCAATTTATTTTAAGGATTTTGCAGTGCCAGTAAAATGTAAGAAGAAAATATATTTTTTAAAGTTTTGTGGGGAAACATGGGACTTCATTAGTACTACACAGGACTTCATTACTACTCGGGTGCCAGGGCAAAAGGTTAAGCTGCTCTCTCAGTGTGGATTTTCTGCTTCAAACCTGGTAACGTTCACTGTATTTTATTTTGAACTTTTCATTGGAACGTTTTGCTGTGCTGAAGGCAAAAAAAAAAATCTTAATATGCTTTGGTTAAAAGCATGTCCTCTCAACTGAAGTCTCCTAAAGTCTTTGAACACAATTGCAATTGATACTGTGTAACTGAAAGTATGCAGCAGATGGAAAATGTAAAACAAGAAATGCATTGTTAAAGTTCAACTGAGGGGCACTTTTGTAACTTCTGTTCTATAACAGCTTATACCATAATACCAAGAAGCTCGCTTCCTCCCCTGTGGTGGATTTGTTTGCCATTTCCTGTATCTTTTCTTCCAGTGCTGTCCTTATATATGAAAACCCTTTGTCTCACCGTGGGTTTATTTGTTTAAAATTCATTCTTCTTTCGTAGAGTTGATTAAAACTACTCCCAAGGTTTTTGTTGCATTACTGGCTGGGCTTCGGTTTCAGTTTTGATACTCATGAACCTTCTGCTTATTTACGAAGAAAGCTTTATGATTAGTGGGTGACTTCTTCAAGTGACTGGGTACTTTGGAACTGTAGCAAAACCTTTTATGGGTTTCGTCTTACAATGTTCCTAAATGTTCCTAAAAAAGAATGTAAGATAAAACAAATGTATATTTTTTCCAGAGTGGAGCAAGTGTTGTCTTAACAAGAATTGTTCAGAATATGTAGATGAAGTGGGAAATGAAATGCCACAGGTTATGGATTAATATTTTAGTATGATTAAAAGTTTGTCATAGTTCCTAGGAGAAGACAAAGTAATTGAGGGGCTCAGATTTATTGCTGCCAAATATGCCAAAATATGCCAGTGATGTGTAGTTATGCCTACCCTTTTTTTGTTTGTTTGTTTGTTTTTTCTGTGAAAGTGGGTAATGTTGCTCAATGGAATCTGTAATCCTTGTTTTAACCTGAGCAAGACAGCAGTTTTAGTGACCAAGTGTGTGCTGACAATAGTATGGCATATTCAGAGTTCATCTCTAGTTCTGTTTGCCATAATCGACATAGAGAGTTATGTGGTCGAGGTGCTTTCTGGCATAACAGGCTGTTAAAGCTGTTTGGCAGTATAATCTTATGAATTTCAAGATCCAGGGTGTTTTTTTGTTTTTATTTTCTTTTATTCCCTGCGCTCCACACACTTATCACGCCACAACTCCACCCTCTGCACCCCCTCTTATTTTGGTGCATGGGAATAGGGCAGTCCTATCGTATCCATACCTCTATTGTATCTACAAGTGGTACAAAGGTATTAAGAAAGCAGCATTTTGAGATAGAAGGAAAACAGTATTATGTATGCTAAATGCTGCAATCATAAAATATGAAAACTTAGAAGAAAATTAGAAATCATCTTGCTCATGATTCATTGAATTAACATTCAACTAGTGAATGAACTAGGAGAACATATTATTCTGGATGTGTTTTGTGATGCCCATCGTGTTGTGTCATTGCAGATCTGCCACATGTGATGCTCATTATTAGAGAAAGTTAGGTGATGAATTTGCATTTCTAATTTACACTCCTTTAGCTTTCAAATTCTAGTGTTGAGGAATACAAGCCTGTGGTGGTAAAGATTGCAAACGCAGCTGGGAACTGATTTCTAAATATATTAATAATTGACTCATTACCTTTTGTAGTAGATGCTATACCAATAGTAAAAGATCATATTTCATAGCACTGTTGTATATGAGTATAATATTTCTAATTATAGTCCATAGCAGTGCTTTGAACTTCCAGCGTTTTTGGATGGTGGGGGGCTGCATGATGTTAAGCATTAGATTATGAGCCGGGAACTCAGGGAAATCTCATTGCATTCTTAGATGTGTCATTGGGCAGACAAGTGAGAGTCTTCTTGTTTATCCCTTTTCTACTCTTGGAAAGTCATTTTCTTTCTTCTTATTGTTAGGGAAAATGGCTGAGAGACTATGTTTACTATAACAAAGGTGGGGGTTTTTTTGATGTCTTCTGTCACTGGAGCCATTAGTTTCCAGCTTTGTATAGCTCTGCATCATTCATCAACTATCAGATTAGGCTTCTTCAAACCAGGTGTTACTCCTGAAGTAATAAAGCTTATATTTCAATCATCTGTAATATGTACCTAATTCTGTAAGGCTAGAATTACCCTCCAAGTTTTAGCAGGGAGGGGCAAAGGTGTTGTTGCAGCTGGAGAGTTGCTTGCATTTTCCTGAACTCCTGGTAAGTGGACATAAGTGATAAAGAAATTATTTGTCTAACATTCTGTACTGAGGAATTGTCAGTTCAGAATAATTAATGAGTATATAAACATGAACCGAAGTGTGGTGCTTACGTTTGTGCTTTCAGTTTTGAGGGATCTAACTTAAGGATTGAAATTCCCTTAAATCTTCTTAATGCTGAAAAGATGGAAATATTTTTGTACTGTACAATAAACTGTATTGTGAAAGTCTGAAATGCGTTTGCTTTTCCCATTGTTCACTGAGGCTGCTGATAAGAGTTGCTTTTGGAGGGAAATGACCTTTGAAATCTGCGAAGGATATTTGTTTCTAGAAGTTAAAACAGCAAGGGAGTGGGTATCCTGTTACATAATAAGATTTTCTTTTGTTGTTTTTTTTTGAGTAGACTTCACTCTTGGAAGGCAAGCTTGATTGAGCACACTGATTTTTGTGTGTGTGGTTTTTTGTTGTTTTTTTTTTTTTTAATACTGCCCTTAAAAGAATGGAACAAAATTCCACGATGTTGGGTAAAATAGTTGAGGTGTCTTGCACTATTAAATCTGCTCTTAAGGGGCGAAACTTTGAGGTTACACTGAAACCGTATCTAACTGTAGAAGAGAAAAGGCTTGCTGCTGCTGCTGATCCATGTGGATGTATGGAGCAATATTTTACTCTGTAAGTACCTAATGTTTGGTAATCCTGGATTATAATTTGTCAGAAAATATTTGAAACAACCCTCACAACCCATCAATTTAAGTAACAATTAATTTCCAAATGGATTCATCAAGAACTTGTAATTTAATTTCTCTTTTTTTTTTCTTTTCCCTACCTGCTGCTTTTCTCTTATGGAAGCAAGGCTGGATGAAAACAGGTCTTCCTATCTTAGTTTCTCTGGTTTATGTCTTCCCAGTTAACATTTCAAAATGTTGTAATTTGAAATGTATGATATTTTCTATAAGCAGTTAGAAGTACATTTTATCATTAAATAGTCCTTTCTTCTGTCTTCACATCTTAAATTCACCTTTTCCGTTTTTCTTCATGTTTGTTACGTTCTGGGAGAAAATCTTCAGCAGCTACTTGGATCTTGTTTTGTATAACTTCCTCTGTTTTTGCTACTTGATCCTGAAATTCAAATTATTTTTTTCACATTTTCTGCTTTGTTGACGTATTCTTATTTTTTTGTGTTAATTAGTATTCTGTCTTCTGTTGGTTAACGATTCTCTTGCTTCTCATGTTAATTACTCCACTTGCTCAGCCTTTCTTTTCCATTGGGTCAGTGGATTTTTTGAGTTGGTGGGCCATAGTCATAATCTCCCACTGCAGAATTACCTTTTACCGAGTTGGAGCTGATTCAGCGCTGTTGCTGAGTTGTCTTTATTAGTTTCTTCTTTATCTTGGGGGTTCTGCCAAATGTCCTTGTGAACCATAAATTCTACATTCTTTGTGTCCACTGTCAGTGGTACATCCTTCTTCCCAAGCTTTGTTAACCTCCCCCTAGGTCTGAGATAATTGAAACATGTCAAGCCTTTAACAAGGCAATTCTACTGACAAGTAATTTGTCTTTTTAACACCTAGATGTAACTTAAAGCTGGCTTGTTAGTTGCTATCTGTTTCATTGATTAAATCTCCTTTCTCATTTATTAATCTTGAAAGTATACAGAGATCAAACATCAAAGAACATCCTTTCTTAAGAAAATTTTTATGTATTCCATTGTTTGCAACAGCAGTAGGAAGCTGGAGCATAGGATAAGAAACAACTTTGTAAATCAAGTCCAGACTTCTGCTACATAACTTTGATAACCGTGTCATACAGATTCTTGCACAGGTAAGGATTAAGATTTAAGTAGAAAGAGTTAGGGGTCTCTGAATTTCTGTATCCAGCTACAGCAAAGTCTCAGGCAAGGTACTTCAAGCTAATCTAAAAGAACTGAGACTTACTTGGTATCCTATACCAAGGTGAATAGGAATGGTCAGCAAAATAAGCTATTTGTGTGACCAAGAATAAACAGAGCTTGGTAGGAAATAATGTTGATTGGGGTTTTTTTTCCATCTGGTTGTGGTTCTTAATTTTGTGGATGTATACTGAGACATGTGGGCAATGTGGATTTCTCACGGAGGGCACAAAATAGATGCAGTATTGGCTTTGAAAGGGTGAGGAGATCTCCACTGGAGTCTGGAGTCACTCTGTTCCTTACAAGTAGGAAAAATGTTCTATAAAGATTTATGAAGGAATGGATGACAACATTTGGTCTCATTGTAACTAACTATGGCTTTGACTTAAACCTCTTTTCTTCGCTGTCTGAAATTCTAAGGGCAGTGATAAATCCGAATATATTTAGGTTTTGCATTCACTTTTGAAATCTTGTCTGGATATATTGGGTTTGGCTGAGTGGAGTTACTTTACCCCATAGCAGCCTTCATCATGCTGTGCTTTCTTTTGGTAGTTGATAACACACTAGTGTTTTGGCTACTGCTGAGCATTGCTCACACGGTAGTCAAGATGTCTCTCCAATATCTCTCTTCACTGGTAGCCTGGAGGTGGGCAAGATCTTGGAAGGATGCATAGCCAGGACTGCTGACCCTGACTGACAAAAGGAATAATCCATACTGTATGGTGAATGTTCATCAATAAAAGCTAAGGAGAAGGGGGTGGGCATTCATTATTATGATTGTCTCCTGAAGCACATGCTGTGTATACTAAAGCCCCGCTTCCTGGGAGGTGGCTGGACATTGCTTGTGGGTCTGAAAGAGAAAATAAATCTCTTTTTTTCCTTTGCTTCTACATGCAACCTTTTCTTTTGCTTTATTAAACTGTCATTATCTTGACACATGAGTTTTTTTCCATCTTGTTTTCTCACCTTCATCTTACTTGAGGAGGGTGGTGATGGAGTGGCTTGGTGGACCCCTGGTGTCTAGCCAAGGTCTGCCCGACGTGCCAGGCCCTTCAATGTGTGAAAGCTCACAGGGTTTGGAAAGCTTTTGGAGTTCCTTGGAGTATTGCAGGCATCTCTTCTTGAGCCATTGTTTGCTTCATATTTTTTTAGTACTTAATCCAGACACTACAAAAGGCTGTTTGTTCAAAGAATTCTTTTCGTAAACTTTCGCTGTCTATAAATGCAGTTAGACTGTGATCTGTTTGCATCTCAAATGCAAAGCAGGGTGAGGTTTCTTACTAGTGGCAGCTAATGAGGAGATGTATCTACAAGAGAGCATCCTTATTGACTTGATATTTTTCTGTGAGAATTTTATTTCACCTGTAAAAAGTGCTTGGACAATATATGTCTGATCATCAGGCGATCTTAATCATATGGCTTGTAGCATAGACATACTGCAGATCTGAGGCTTTTAATCGTGATGACAGGGAATGGCATTTTACAACCCAGAAAAGCAGATGAAAGGTTATATGTGTGATTTTTAGTGGAATTCAGGGCATACTGAAGTCTACTATTGGGCTTTACAGTGACTTATATTAGCTGATACTACATTTTAACACAAACGTGTCAACCTTCGGGTATTGCATCTGGCCCTCACTGGGGAAGAAGGGAAAAGGGAATGAGTTGAGTTGAGTTGGTCTAAACTAAGCTCTTCTGCCTCAAGACCTCAACTGGATTCCAGTCAAGGTTGAGCATACAGGTGATTGAAGTTGTGTGATATTACGTTATTGTTAGAATCTGATAGATTCTTTTGCTAAACACTTCATTGTACTAGGCCAGCATGTTAGTAAATACAATTTAAAAGTGGACAAGAAGGGGCAGTGGTTCAACTTAAGTTTCTGAATTGATGCAAGAATATAAAAATGGTATTCTGGTTTTATTCTTTATTTTTTCTAATTGATGCTTTACTCTTTCTACCGTAGAAATGAAGACCTAAAACAAATGTTGGAAAGCAGTAAAGATTCTGCAAAGCTGGATGCTATGAAGAGGATTGTTGGGGTATGTGATTTTTTTATTTTTGTTTATTAGGGTATATGGTTTTTTATTATTATTTTTATTTCTTGGATGGGAATAATGTTTTCACTTTACAGATCCTGTACAACATTAGCATTTGAATCTCTAAGTGATGTTTAAAAGTTGTGGTAATGAAATGGTGAAGTCCTTAATTTGGAATTTTGGCTAGAAATTCCTATATCAGGATATATGCAGTCATGTACTTTTAAAATATTCATGTAGCAGTGCCAATATACCTGTTAATAATTACTTTCAGTGAGACCTTGAATAGGAAATGGTTCCTTGAGAGAAGCTTCAAAATCAACAGACTGGAATCAGCAGAAATTTGCAGGAAAAATGACAAATTGCATTTACTAGTTTTGTTTTATTAGATTAAATAAAGATTTTCTTTTTTTAATTGAGCACGATGCTTATATAGTTGACTAAGTATTTCAGTCAAACTGTGCACATATAGAGGTGATAAAATGACAAGGTAACCCACCTAGCTAATCAAGGTAAGCCACTTGGTGTACTGTTTTTGGATTTCATTAAAGATTTTGATACTGTCTCTCACAGGATCCTTCTGGACAAAATGTCCAGCACACAGCTGGATAAACACATCATGTGGTGGGTGAACAATTGGCTCATGGCTGGAGCACAGAGGGTAATAGTGAATGGGGTGACATCAGACTGGTGACCTGTCACTTGTGGGGTTCCACAGGGCTCCATCTTGGGCCCTGTGCTCTTCAACATCTTCCTAAATGACTTGGACACAGGACTGCAAGTTTGCAGATGACACAAAACTGGGAGGAGCTGTTGACTCCCTCAAGGGCAGGGAGGCCCTGCAGAGGGGACCTCAATAAATCAAAGAACTGGGCAATCATCTTATGAAGTTCAACAAGGGAAAGTGCCACGTTCTGCGCGTGGGATGGGGCAACCCTGGATGAACATACAGACTGGAGAATGAGATGCTGGAAATCTGTGTCACAGAAAGGGACCTGGGAGTCCTGGTCAATGGCAAGTTGAATATGAGTCAGCAGTGCCCTGGCAGCCAGAAGGGCCAACCCTGTCCTGGGGGGCATCAGGCAAAGCATCACCAGCTGGTTGAGGGAGGGGATTGTCCCACTCTGCACTGAGGTGGCTTCACCTTGAATATTGTGTGCAGTTTTGGGCACCACAATATAAGAAGGATATAAAACTGTTAGAGAGTGTCCAGAGGAGGGCAATGAAGAGTGTGAAAGGCCTTGAGGGGAAGCGGTGTGAGGAGCAGCTGAGGTCACTTGGTCTGTTAACCTGGAGAAGAGGAGACTGAGAGGAGACCTCGTCGCAGTCTACAACTTCCTTGTGAGAGGAGGGACAGGCACTGATCTCTTCTCTGTGGTGACCAGTGCCGGGACCAGGGAGTGGCCTGCAGTTGTGTCAGGGAGGTTTAGGTTGGTTATTAGAAAGAGATTCTTCACCCAGGGGATGACTGGGCACTGAAATGGGCTCCCCAGGGCAGTGGGGGTCACAGCACCAAGCCTGAGTTCAGGAGGCATTTGGACAATACTCTCAGATACATGGTGCGACTCTTGGGGATGGTCCTGTACAGGGCCAGGAGGGCCCTGTATGGTAATTCTTGTAGGTTCCTTCCAACTCAGCATATCCTGTGATTCTGTGAAATAATGTTTAACATCATTGTGTGTTTAAACCCTAAAAACTGAACATGAAGTTGATAGTTCCCTTTATTTCTTCTTAAAAGTTTTGAAGAATGTGCTATGGAAAACTGTTCAGTGTCCATTTGACTTTGTTTCAGTCTCCTTTGGGCATGCTTTTTTGTTTTCCTTGGTTTTTACATCCTTAATCTTATCCGAGTACATACCAAAGTGAATAGGTACAGTTTGTATCATGCTATTGTGTTCTTTCCACAGACTTTAGAGCTGGCGGTTTCTCCCTTCGTTACACTTTAGTGATGAAAGTTTTACTTAAGCTGTTTGTCTTTTTTGCCATTGATCCTAGTCCTACCAGAGACATTTTTTCCCATGAGATCTGGGTAACTATCAAGTGCTATTTCATGATGTCATTCTTTTTTTGGTGAAAGGTTTGTTAATTCATCTTCTGCGATATGATGTGGGATTACTCAGGTTTTGATCAGTGAGAGTCTGGCATATAGAAGTGCTGTTGCAAAAAAACCATGGCATTTAGAAGTGTCATGGTTTCAGGCTATGGTAACTTACATTCTTTGTACTTCCCTCAGAAAAGCTATTACTGTGGGCAGGAGGGTTGGGGAGAGTTGCCTGTTGCTCCCTTGGTTTTCTTTTTCAAAAAGTTGCCAGATCTTTATCTGTTTTTAGAAGCAGTTGCAACTGAATGTATGTACGTATGTGTGGAGGGGGAATTAGAAACCATTAAATTGAATCAGATTTAAATTATAAACCAAGGTTTTACTAGATTGATTTTTTTTTTTTCTGCTACAAACAATCCTATCACTGTAAATAAGTGTGCAATGAGCAAATGCAGTCATTATAAATGCCTGCTGCTGCTGCATATTCAAAAGAGTTCTTAACTGTTTATTTAATTTTATGGAAGTGTATGATGCCATGACCTGGAGACATGTGGTTAGCACTGATAGCTGTGGTCCTTGATGGTCTTAGGCTGAAGTGATCAGGCTCAAGAAGTTTTCAGCAAGGGAAGGCAGAACTAACTGGACACATTCTTTCTTCTGCTCCCCTGTTTTCTGATTGTGACAATTCTCCCCAGTTTCCAGTTCTAGATTTTTGTCCTGTTTTAAGTTTGTGATCCTTGGTTTTTGTGCCTGTTCTAAGCACTGTGCAATGGAGGAAGAGCACTACTTTCCCAAATGACAGCAGGCACCTTCTGTTTCTTGGATATTTTTCCTCTTCTCAACTGCTGCTTCTTAAAGCAGTAACAGCCTTTTGGCTTGTAAGCTAAACTTGATGGCAAGTGAGTTGTTTGAATTACTGCATTGTCTCTTTTCAGTTCCTTCCATGTCTTCAAAGTGTTTGCTGTTTTCCTGTGCTGTGTTTAAACTATGTTTTATACCACACATCTGGTACCAACCTCTGGTTGACATAACAAACTCAAACAATGAGCTTCACAGACCAGGACTGGGACATTGCACAATTACCATGAGGTCTTGTAACAGTGGTGATAATGTTCTTGCAGAGCACAAAGGTGCTTGTATGCTTGCATATAGAGAGGAGCTTATATCTCTCAGGAATGAGATGTGTTTTCCAGAAATGCTTCCTCAATCTTTATTATTAGAGGAAAAAAGGAACTCTGTTGTCAGAGTACTGTTTAAAGTATCTCACTGAAATGCTCTTTTAACTAGTTTTAGATAGGGGAAAAAGCTATGCATACAGCATCCACAACTTCTCTGGGCAACCTGTTCCAGTGCCTCAGCACCCCCACAGTAAAGAATTTTTTCCTAACATCTAATCTAAAGCTACCCTCTGTCAGCTTAAAGGTATTACCCCTTGTCCTATCACTACATGCCCTTGTAGAAGTTCCTCTCCAGCCCTCTCTATAGGGTTTCCTTAGAGCCTTCTCTTCCAGACTGAACAACCCCAGCTCTCTCAGCCTGTCCTCATAGGAGGAATGCTTGATAAGCCGTCCCTGTCCATGGAAGAGGGGTTAGTCTCTAAGGTCTCTTCCGCCTTAAACCATTCTATGACTCTATAATTCTATTATACCAATAGTTTTCTTAGTCTTTTAGTAGACTTCAAGAGGCTGAACCTTCATATAGGTGTGATAGAGGAGTACAAGGAGAACACTACTTATGGCATCCTTTGCTGCTTCTTCCTACTGTCGGGTGGTTTGTGGACTTTCTCCTAGGATGAAGGAGATTGTTTACAAATAAACTGAAATCTGTCTTCCAGAGAGTGACTTTTAACAATGTAAATTCAAGCATAGGAGTAGTCCATATTTTTCCACTCCCCTCTTATACACAAATGTATCTAAGCCTAGTTCAGGTAAGATACGTATGTGTGACTTTCATGATCAATGATTTTTTTTTTTTTTATATTTATTTTTAGTCAGTATGTAATTTTTTGTTTCTTCCTTAAATGCTTACTATAAAATAAATACAATCTTTGAATGAGTATGAGCAATACTGCTGGGTTAGAAATAAATTTGAAGAGTATACATTTTATACTCTATACATGAAAACACAATAGCTGATATTTGTTTTAAAACATACACTGATATTACAACAACGAAGATGTTCTCAGTACCGTATCTTGAAGCCTATCTGAATTTCTCATCTGGCAAAATACTCTGTGGAATTTCACTCCAGAAGATTTCAGAGCATTAATTTAGAAAACAGTCACATGCCTGATTTTCTTCAGAGAGTATCATCCATATATGTGTGTCTCTCACATAGGAAAAAAAAAAAGTTTAATACACCCTGGCATTACATAGCACATTCTAGAATGAAAGTTTTTGTGCAGAAACTCCAGGTATATAAGACAACACAACTGGAGAATCTCTAGGCATAGCAACCAAAATGACATGATAGACCTTAGTCTTGGAAAGAGCCATTATGTTCTTTCAGGTTAATGATCCATGAGCTAAGGAGGATTTATGCTAATTGTTATACAATAATGAGTCAAAATACACTCTTTTAAAAGACCCTAAATACATATTTACATGGTACACTGGAGCTATTATGGTTGATCAGTTAAATAATCCAAGTAATGCATAGAGTCATACTGTTAGAGCCTGTCAGGGAAGTCTAAGGATGATCTCAGTTTTTGAGTAACATAACTTCCATTACATCAAGATAAGATGATAGTATTTTATTCTGTTATACTTCTCTGCAGTGCATCTTGGTGCTAAGTTCTGTGTGGTCATTTTGAATTTGACATTTATTATGAAGACCCCCCAGTCCTAACAGCAGTAGTTTATTTTAGATTCTTAGATAAAAACCCCTTGAAACTCATATAATATTCTTGCTTTTTAGTTTGTCACTTTTTGTGACTTTTAATACAGCTGCAAGAAATAGTTCAAAATGTTAAATTTAAACATCATGCTGGATAGCTGCTCTTAAACCCTTTTGAAAGAGTGACTAATAGCCTGAACTACAGCAGCCTTTTTTTTGTCTTCCATCATCTTTCTTCTAAGCTTCTGTGAATATACAGTTTCTCGGGTATTGCCTGGTTTTGTGTATTTTTGCTTTTGTTGCACGAGATCCTAATTCTTTATGTTTTTGATGTGTTTTATCAACAAAGTACACGAACAGACCTGTGAGTTAAGAATATGAAGTGTAATCGGCTATATAATGTTGAATAATGGTCAAAGTGTAAGATGGTTATGTACAGGAGTAACTGCAGTTGCAGAGCTCACGTTTCTTTGTTGGATCCCTGCATATTTGTTGTTGCTTATTTGTGTTGGACCCTAGTGGACGTCCGTACTGGGACCAGTACTGTTTAATATCTTTATTAGTGATGTAGACAGTGGGATTGAGTGCACCCTCACCAGATTTGCAGACAACACCAGGCTGAGTGGTGTGGTTTACGTGCCTGAGGGATGGGATGCCATCCAGAGGGACCTGGACAAGCTGGACCCATGGGAAACTTATGTGGACCTCATGGGGTTCAGCAAGACCAAGTACAAGGCCCTGCCCTAGGGTTGTGACAGACCCCAGTATCAATACAGGTTGGAGGGTGAAGGGATTGAGAGGAGCTCTACCAAGAAGGGCTTGGGAGTTCTGGTGAGTGAAATGCTGGTTGTGAGCTGACAGTGTTCACTTATAATAGCCCAGAAAACGTGGCCAGTGGGTCAAGGGAGGGGATTCTGCCCTTCTACTCTGCTCTGGTACCAGAGACCTCACCTGAAGAACTGCATCCAACTCTGGGGTTGTTGACACAGGAAAAACGTGTACATGTATGAGCATGTCTGGAGGAGGCCTCAAGAATGATCTGAGGGCTGGAGTATGTCTCCTTTGAGGACAGGCCAAGAGAGTTGGGGTTGTCAACCTGGAGAAGAGAAGGCTCTGAGGAGACCTTATAGCACCTTTCAGTACTTACAAAAGGGCCTACGAGAAAGCTGGACGGGAACTTTGTAGTAGGACGTGTTGTGACTGGACAAAGGGTGATGGTTTAAACTAAAAGGTTGATTTAGGTTAGATATAAGGAAAAAGTATTTTACAGCGAGGGTGGTGAAACACTGTTACAGGTTGCCTGGAGAGATGGTGGTTGCCCCATATCTGGAAACATTCAATATCAGATTGGACAGGGCTCTGAGCACCCTGATCTAGTTGAAGATGTCCCTGTTCACTGCAGGGAAGTTGGACTAGGTGACTTGAAAGGTCTCTATTCTATGATTCTGTAATTGCTTAGTGAGCTTTTTGATTTACTTGATGTTTGGCTGAATCTCATCCTTGGGCAAGACACACAGATTCTCAGTTATGTTACATCAAGTTACAGTGCTGTTGAATAAAACCCTGAAAAGTTTTAAGTTTGGACTTAAAAGTACTGCCAGACAGTCTACTGCAATTAAATCTAAGAAATAAGAACGTTGTGCAACTGCAGCGTTTGTACAAGTACTGAAACTAAACTGGGGTTTTGTTGTTTATGGTCTTTATTGTGACAATTTTATTGTTTATGACATGTCTGGTTTCAGATTTCTCCAAGATCAAACATGAGAACTTCCTTTCAAAAAAAAAAAAAAAAGAAAAATAGAAGAAAATTAGTGCATTTATCTTACTTTCACTGTGTGGTTTTTGTATATCCTTTTTTGTTCTCTATAAACATTTTACAGCCTTTTGTGTTTAACTTGCTATGGAAAACAACCTTACCTTGTTTTTAAAGTGTGATGTCTATTTTTATTTTTATCCTTGATGCTGTTGCAAACCAAGATTGTTTCAGGGAAAAGGAGCAGGACTGAAACTTGTATAGCTTCTGATGGGTTTTGTTGTGCTTATTTTTTTTTTTTCCCCAGCTCTGAAAAGGTAATTCTACAAGGCTTTTCAGATTAGCAAGATCTCTGTTTCTGGTTATTTTTAAGGCATTAAAAGTTATTTGCCATCCTATATGTTAAAGTCCAGTTCGTTGATTCCATTGCCCAAACTTGTAACCAGCCAGCACTCAGAGTTTTTGCTGTATGGATTGTATCACATATATTCTAATAACCAAAAAATGGGCTTTATCCTCAATTTCATAGAAATCAGATTTGAAATACAGATCTGAAATAAATCAACAAAGCACAAACCATACTCTAATAAATTTTATTATTACATTACTAAGATTTGTCTCTTCCTTCTTTTTTTCAGATGATTGCAAAGGGAAAAAATGCTTCTGAGCTGTTTCCTGCTGTTGTGAAGAATGTTGCCAGTAAAAATATTGAGGTATTCCTATAACTCATTAAGCATGCTGTTATGGAAGATCTGATTATGAAAATTTTATCTAATTGTATCAGACTTCAATATAAACCATAAAATCTCTAGCATTTTTATTAGAACTTCTAGGGGTTTATTTCATTATGGTAGAAATTTTATGTGTAAATAAAGGAAACCTGTTGGGTGATTTGGAGGGAGGTATAACAGCTATTTACATTTTAAAAAAATTTCTTTATTTCGGAAAGTTTGTGAAATATGTTTGTAATTGAGAAAAGTTATTGTAGTTTAGTTGAGTTATGGTGCTTCTTCCAAAGTTTAGGGTTGTGCTACATTGTATTTGAAAAAGTATGCTGCAGATTGAAGCCGAGAGGTAAGGGTTGGGTAAAAAAAGTGTGTGTTCTTGCACCTTCATCAGGTGTTAGGCACAGAGAGTAGCTGGCTACAGTAACTACTCCAGTGAAGAGTTGTCAGAGTTACAGTTGACTTGACAAATGAGATTTGGATAAAAATAGCAAATTTGTAGTTTCAGACCTCGTAGTGACTAACAAGCATCGGTTTGATGAAAGCAGACTGAACATGCAACACTGAAAAATGTGGTAAAGAGTTGTTTGAGGCACTGAGTTTTAAGTCAACTGAATGCATGCGTCAGTTGTTCCACCCTCTTCTGGAAATGGGAGCTGTAAGTGTGCAAAGATGCTAATTCAGAGTCTTTCAGGAATTTACTGTATTAAAACTGTTTTAGAAATGGTAATTGTACTTTTAGTAATAGGCAGTAAAAGGAAGTGAGACAAGGAATCAGACTAGTTAAATATTCTTTTCCTCTTTAATTTGCGTTTGTAAGTTATGAGTACTCCAAGTCCAATTTTAAACAGAGAGACCTTACACCAAAGAGGAATGCCTTGAACAGTATTATTCATCTTATGTGCTTTTAACTTTAGTGCTGGAACCACTAGGCCAACAGAGGCAAGATTGCCCAAGCTCCAGGCTTTCAGCCCAACAGTAGTGAGCCTGAGAGTGTATTCCTGGTAGGTGTGCACATACATATAAATCTTGTATATGTATATATACAAAACAAAAATGTATATACAGAAGCAGCCCCATAAATTGTCACAGGGTATCCTGGTGAACACAAACAGCACCAGCAGTTTGTCAGTTCAAGATGAATGTCTGCTATGTGTGGATCCATCCACACTGAGTCTGCAAAGTGGCTGGCCCATGGATCTCGGTCACTCCTGTTGCTGGCACATGGATGTATGAGCCCCTGATGCTGCAGCCCTGTTTCATGCCTGTAAACCAGGACTACCCTGGTTTCTCAGTAGCTGCTCCCTCATGGACTCTCCCTTAGACACACAGCTGTGTGCATGAATTGAGCGCAACCGGACCTGGCCAGAACTCCCCTAGTCCTCTGCTGTCCAAACCCTCGTGGTTATGCCCTTAGAGAGGTACACAGAAAAAGCCTAGATCTTGCCCGCAGGCCATCCATCTGGTTTCCTTGGTAGCTGGTTGGGACTTCAGTGGTCTGTGCCAGTTCTTCCTGTTGTCTCACCCTTAGATACCCATACCCAGACTTACTTCCTTCACAGGCCACTTCACCTACCTGCCAGCCACTGCAGCTTGATCCACGTGCACACTTGCATCCGTTCCAGTCACTGGCACCACAGGGACATGGGTTTGTGCTTGGTTTCACAGACTCTGGTCTCTTCAGTTGCTGGCATTCATGGTCATGGGCTCTCTGGCCTGTGGTCCCAGCCAAGGTGTAGGCAACCAGACCCTCCCTTGTTCCAGGTGCTGACCACCATGGATTTAGAGGTCCCTATGGCTTGGCATCACATTCCAGTTACTGGGGTCACACTTAAGTACCTTCACTCTGGTCTTTCCAGTTGCTGGTGCCTATGTATATGTCAGCCCTCTAGCTTGTGGCCTGACTATAGTTGCTGGCACATACATGCACCTTCATGCTGAATAAAGAGTACTTCACCAAGGAAAATAGATAAAAATGTAATTTAATGAGTAAATGTAATGGACTGTACTGATTACGTAGAAGGGTAGATGTACCAACCAGCAAACTGTTCAGATGTGTCCAGCCATCTTATCCCTCTGTTTTCCCCAACTTGTTCTTCTCCAGATCATGTAGATTTCCTCTACTTCTCTTTCACTTTGGTTCTTCCTTGAAACATCCCATGCTAAGTCTTGTCTAAGATGCTCTTCATCTGTGTCCCATACACCCAATACGCATAAAAGACACATAAAAGACTTTCAAGTCTGAAAGGTGCTGTGGTGTTTATTGATACTTGGTGGTTTTAACATCTGGGCATGGGAGCTGAGGCTTTCCTGAAGTGGTTCTGGGAGGAGTGTGACAACGTGTTCTTTCTCCGAGTCCTAAATTTAGTTTCCCTGCTACTGCTGTGTCTCTCTCTGCGCTTCTGAGCTTATGGTTCCTGTCATTGGCTTGGGAGAAACCAGAGCAGGGTGTTGCATGCAAACATCCCTCCATCCCCCTTGTCTCTCTGTGCTCCTCTGTGGTGTGAAAACAAGGTCTTATCACATAGCCTAACACTAATTAGCAGAAGCCTTTCCCTGTTGATATTTTATGGACCTGTTTTCTTATTTTAAAACAAACATGCATTTGCATATCTTCTTTATACAAGAAGTGACTGTTAAACTGCAAAGAGATCAGGACATTCATTGAAGCCATTTGACTAATTTCTTTATCAAGTTGAGTTAGATAACAAGTTTAGATCATAATGTAGCACTATTTAGAGCTGTCTTGTGTCTCAGGAACCTTTATCATGATCCATTTTTTAGGATGCTCTTGAAATTATGAGAAATTACTGGGTTAAGTCAGATTCTTAGTACATTGATCATGATACTGTTTTCTGAAAATGTTTTGCCGAATTTCTTAAGAATTCTTACACAAATCTGTACAAATTACTAGGATGTAGTAGCAGACGATACATTGGTTTATCTGAGTAATTTTGTATCCAAGTGACTTTCCTGCCCAGAAATGGCTTCTGTTTTTATTTTAAAATCAGGGCTGAATGCTCTGATGCAGGAAAATGGAGATGAAGGAGTAGTATAACATGTTAATTTGTTTTAAGAGAAGCAAAGGGCATCTTATTGTTTACAGAAGTGCCCTATTTTATTTTTTTTTTGGTAAGTACACGCCAACCTCAGCTTGATTAAGTGCATCACGTTGTGCACGGTAAGGATACAAAAAGTGACCTAATAAACAATTGGTGGTATAGAACAAAAATAAGTCTTCATCAATAATTCATGGAGTTTGATGTGCTTATATTGATAAATTAATTAAACAAATCTGCCTGTGTTCCTCAAGCCTAATGTGCTCCTGTTATGATTAGTTTTATAGAACAGAGCATTTTAACATTGAATGAAGGTAAATGGTAAAAGAATAGTGTAGTCACGAAGCTCTGAGTGCTTTTATTTCTAGTCCCAAAGTGGTTTCAAGGAAAGGAGCCTTTCTTTGCACACCTGCAGTCATTCAGTGCACAGGCCTCTTGTGGTCAATGTTGATTGCTACTTCTCTATAGTTGAACAACAAACAATTTAGTATGATGTAACCGCCTGTGATTTAATATTATGTTTTTTTGCCAGAATAGGCACAAAGGTACATCTTCTGATAGTGACAGTAATTATTAGCGCAGCTGTAGTTGAGGGTCTTTCAGAATTTTCCATTATAAGCCCCAATAGTCAGTTTACAACTCAAATGTAAAAAAAATGTTTTCACTGCTTCCTGGGCATACAGTGGCCATGAGGGGTAAAGTGAATTAAATTGAACACCCTCCTCCCCAAAATCACACTGAGATTTTCTTAATCTTTGAACATTGCATCCTTTGTAATTGCTTATGTTGGCGGCATCTTTTAGATGCTTGTAGTCATGCAAAGGTGAATCTAATGTCCTTTGTTTTTTTCCAAAACATAGTCAGAAGTGCTCTTTTAATCACATGTAAATAGTGTAGATTACTTCAGCAGGAAGTTATATTCACTTTCAAATGTGTTAAAATAATTGATATTGAGTTTCAGGGTAAAATAAAATGAACTTGTTGAAATTCTTGGCTATTGCAGTTTAATCTATTTTTTATAAGAAAAAAAACATGAGAAGTGCTTAAGTGATCAGTTGACATATGTCAACATCTTAGATTATTCTTTATTTACTAGTTGATAATATAAGGCAGTACTTTGTGTTATTAGCCTTCATCTGACTGTGTCATTAAGCAACATTGCAGCACCTCAGGAGTTTCTATTAAAAGAATTGAAGTAAATTGCAAGACATCGGAGAAGTGTGTGAGTACTTCAGTGATATATTAGCTCTTTCTTCAAAGAATAAAATTTTGTTGAAACTATGCAATCTAGGACTTAGTTTTACAGAATTCTAAAACTCTCTGATTGTGATGTTCATTGTACTTTTTCTTTTCAGATAAAAAAGCTTGTATATGTTTATCTGATGCGCTACGCAGAGGAGCAGCAAGATCTAGCATTATTGTCCATCAGTACTTTTCAACGTGCTTTAAAAGTGAGTGACTACTGAAAAGTGACTACTAACTAACATTTCATAGGGAATTCTGAGCTAGCAGTGTGAAAATAGAAGTATTTGTGTAAGTGTAGTGTGGTAAACTAAAACATGTAAATATCTGCATCTGATAAAGTAGTTTCAAGTTATGTGATTGACAAAGTTTTTTGTACTACCTTAAACCTTGTCAAGCAGCTAAACCTGCAAGATGTAAAATTACTTCACTGAAGAAAGGCAGCAGAATGGTGCTCTCAAATCCACAGTGTAACATTTAATTTCTGGAATGCCTTTTCTCCTTCCAACATCACTTATGTATATAGCAAAAAGACCCTGTTATTGCCATGAACTACCTGTCTTCATTTTAGTTTATGTAAAAGAACTTTGTTTACAACAGAGGATTGGAAAAAAGATAAGGAAGATAGTAGTACCTAAATTAAAATATTCAGTGTGTTGCACATAGTGCTTTTTCATTAAAAGCACTGAAAAAAAGCATTTTGTAATCTTCTGTTTCAAATCAGATCACAATTAGAAATGGGATTAGAGAGCAAAGATTAGGGTTGCTTTTGAAGTGTGACTGTGGAGAAAAGAATAATTTATTAAGTCTATGTTCTTAAATTTGGCCAGTTTTATAATAAGAGAAGATCACTTTTTTCTTTTTTCTTGTACCTTTCTTGTAAGGCTACTCTAGGTTCATAATTAATTTCTGTCATATCACTTAACTCAGACCTTGCATCTTGTTGGGATATATTGCAATCAGAGCACCACTTGTGCATCTCTTGGCGCATCCCACACCAACTACAGAATTTTCTGCCCTTTTCCTTTCAACTTTTATCTCAATGTCAAATGTACTACCTTTACTATCTGTGATTGCCATGAAAAGCTAAAATTCAAATTATTTTGTGTCCTGTGTTTCTAGTGATATATGTATGCAATGATCACTTCTCATGGCATAACTCTTTTAAAAGCTGTGGGTAATGAGAACAGTAGGAAAGGGATAGGTCAAATGTTGTGGCTGAGTAGCAAAAAAAGAAGTGGTGATGTGGCAAGGAGGTAGACACCAAGCTAGTGGAGATTGTCAGCAACTAAGGAAATCTGCTATAAAAAATAGGCAAATATAATTAATTCTCTGTTAATTTTTTTAATGTTTTGTTTATCTTTTTGCAATGATTATAATTTGGCTTTATGTGTGGAGATTTTTTTCTCCCTCTGTAGAAAGAACGTTTTAGGGTATTTTCAACTTCTGTGACTGCAGATGAGATTTGCAAACTCTGGTAAGAACAAGTTGTTTTCCCAAAACTGTCCAATTAAGTGCTTTCACCATCCAGATTCTTACTACTCAGAAGCTGCTAAAATGTAAGAATTTTGAGAGTTTAGATGAACTAATCATTAAGTAATACCAGTCTGCAAATCTGTGTTGCCAGTTTTCAGTCCTTCGGAGAAATGTTCTTTAGGAAGTTCCCTTCTGGCAGGACAGTACACTGAATTAACAATGCTGCAATTTCAGTTTGCTGGATTTTGGAGGATTTAGTACCTTATTAAGCAACATTTTTCCCTCGTATCCCAAGCCCGTGATTAAAGGACAAAGTTTATGTAGCTGTTCTTCCAAATACGGGTGTGTTGGATCTCCGAGCTAACCCTAGTATTGTAAAAGAGGACCAAGAACTGGGACAAAAGAAGGGAGGAAAAGAAACAGAAAAAAGTCTCAAAACATTTAGCCTAGTATTTTGACATGTTGTTTAAAAATTCATTTTGTTACTGGCTTCAGTTTGTATCTTGACATAAAGCATAGAGTGGATTTGTTCTCAAGAACTTGAGTGTGAGTGTCACAACTGAAAACAACATTTTCATTTGACCTTTCTTAAATATAAGTAATAAAGCTGAGCTAGTGTGTCTTTGAGAATATCTGAATTCCACTTGGATTGCAACAAATGTATCAGATAATTAAATAAAATATTAGTCTTTTTTACCCATCATTCCCATATTTTGTTTGTGAAAGTGCATTATGTTAATGTTTCCTTTGTAAAATTTTCCGATTTTCATAATGTTTTAATGTTCTCGTTCTTAATTTGTTTTACTTTTTTTTTGGTTGTTGAAAATTTCTTTGTGTGAAGTGTGGCACGTTTTCTTAGTAGTGTGGCCTTCACTTACAGGCCTGACTTACAGTCAGATAGATTTACATGTTTTAATGTGTTGTTACTAATTAAGTGTAAAGACTGCAGCAAATTTATTATTTGTTTCTGCATTATCTTATTTTCTTTCTCCCCTTCCCTCCTATTCTTTAGGATCCTAATCAATTAATCCGTGCAAGTGCTTTAAGAGTTTTATCCAGTATCCGGGTCCCAATTATTGTTCCTATTATGATGCTTGCTATTAAGGAAGCCTCATCTGATTTATCTCCTTATGTGAGAAAGAATGCAGCCCATGCAATCCAAAAACTGTATAGGTAAGTGATTCTGGCAAATACTGAAAAGCAGTTTTAAGATAGTTGTGGGCTACATTTAAAAAGACTACTGGGGGTTTGGCATGTCTCAGATATGAGATCAGTTTCTTAAAACTATAACGTGTGTGCAGACATTCCATCAGTCAAGTGGTTTGGTTGGAATTCAAGCAATTCTCTTGCTTGCTAGACTAAAAGGATATAACTGTAAAGAGATACAAAAAGAGACTGATACACTATCTTTTAGTTTTTAACCTACTGGTTATTTTCATCTGCGTAACAACTGTCCTGGTGGGTATTCTCCAAATGTTAAGATTTCTCTGTTTAAAGTCTGCATCTTTCATCCTGAAGGCATTTGCTGTAGTTTGTAATGCATATGACAAAAGAATGCTAACTGGTAGAAATTTTATCTGTGCAAGTCCAAATCTTCCAGATCTTCCTCTTTTGTCAGAAATTCATGTTGGGGAAGAGTTCTTATCAAGACATTGATACTGTTTTGCAGAGGTGGGGGCAGCAGAGCTTGTACCTTTGCAAAACATCGTCAGGCGTTTATTCTACTATATACTTCATTTTTATTTCATCTACGCTAAAAAGTGGAGTTTGAGAGATGTTAGAGGTTCTGAATCAGGTAACCTCAGGCAGCTGCAGTTCCATGCCCTCTCAAACCACCCAGATGCAAGGCTGAGCATGTGTTCCTGATAGGCACATACAAGATACATGTACAACACACATACCCACAGCCATCTATACAGATGAGCAGAGACAGAAATCAGCAGTCATGCAGACAGTACCAGCACCAACAACCTTATCCTCTTGCACCTTCTGGCTGATAAGTATACAGACCCATTAGTATGCCTAGATGTGTACAATATGGATCCCCCACTGATAATCCTAGATGTTCCATGTTTCCAGGAAGTGGCTTTGCATCCCCAGTCTCCCAGTTTCTGCCACACACAAGCACACAGTGCTTGCAAACCCACCACACTTCCTGCTACAGACCCCCTCAGTCAGATACACACATGCCCTGCCCTTTCACTCAGACACTGTGAATCCCACAGTATCTCAGTTTAGAGACTCAGACTATGCTGTAAGTGGCCCATATATCTCCTCCTCTCTGCTTGTCTTGTGGGAGGTAGAGAGGAGGTGAGAGAGATTGAGACATGGTTATCTCAGTCAACCTCCAGACCTTACAGTCTCTCCAATACTTCGCCTGGATACACTGGTCCTACTGGTAAGTAAGATCTTCAGTTGTAGCACTCAGAGGCACACACAGGTGTCCAGTTTAGATCAATGGCCCCAGTTCAATACTTGGCATCCCAAGCCACCCAGTCTGGTTTGATATTCTCAGGCAGTCACACACTGACATACTTGCTCTGGTTGCTGGTGCTACTGTTATACAGGTCCGTATAACCCATGGTTTAACTCCAGCTGCTAGAGCTTAGATCTCCATATCACATATGCACATGGAATAGAGACTGCCTCTGTAGTCAGCAGGTGCACAGCATGGGTAGACGAGTGTGCTGAGCAGCAAAGCATTTAGATACACTTGACTCGTTTTGTGCACTTGTCTCCCTTTATTTTCCTACTCTTGTTCCTCCTGAAGTAATTTAGATCCCTGCACTTCTTGCATAAACATCCCATCTTGTATGATTGCAAGATGCTCTGTCTAGCATTGCTATTAAGTCTTATAGCCCTGTAACTAGAGCTCTTTTAGCCTGTTCTTTTATTTCCACTCCAAAAATGCTCCCTTCCTTGTCTAAAACATCAGGAAAGAGGAGGGGGAGGAATGTAAATTCAGTTATTGGAACCCTTACTGATGATTTGCTTGATCACATAAGAAAAACTTTTGACTTTTCCTCTGAAGGTTTTAGTCCTTGGCAGAAGATCCAGTAAAACTTCCTGACCAAAATAGAAGTGGGAATGAAAGGTGATCATAAAAGTACTTATGCAACAACGTACTGTTGCTTTGCTTATGATGATAGTGGCTTCTAACAAAGTTTTGTTATCCATTTTGCATGTTCTGGTATTGCTAGGTCTTAAAGTCTTAGTGAAGTAGTACATAGCTAGATACTCACTTTGTGAATCTGTAACTAGAAAGGCTATACTGTACATTAGGGCAGTTCATGACTCAGCATTAAAACTGAAGTGTACAGTAATGACCAAATACTCCCTTACTTATCTGTAACTGTATCCATATTGAAATGGCTTTCCAAAGGCATAGAACTACACATCTGTATCACTCTTTGTACTCACTTTCCCTTTGTATTTTCTTCTGCTTTGGCTTTGAATTCTTCCATGCTATGTAGATGCATGATGAGGAAGGAGCTGGAATGCAAAGCTGATCCTTACCTACCTAAGAAGCAGGTGTTACAATAGTGGATATCTTAGGCAAACTTTTCTCTGCTCTTTTAATATGGAAAGGATGCTACAAAGGTTGTTTTTTGCAACTTTTGTTTTTCCTGTTGTTTTACTATTTACGTAGGACTTCGAGCAGTCTATTTCGTATCAGCCTGCACACCAACTTTGTATAGGTACATGTCCTATACATTGGATTGAAAACAATGTCCAAATCTTTGAGTTCCTGTACTTCTCACTAAAATTAGTGGTTAACAAAGTGTCTTACTTGAAGTTTTATAGTGATAATTAGATAATAAAAATATGATTCTTCTTTGTTCTGGTGTTCATTCACTACTGAATTAGTTCATGCTGAAATTCACTTCTGCAAAAGCAGTGAGATCCTTATGACTTAAAATATGAAGTTCAGTCAAGTTCTCCCTGATGTAGGTTGGCCTGTCTTAATGTTTCTTAAATCCTGAACTTTTTATGAGTTTAAGTATTAAGTTTCTTATAGAACACATGTAAGTGATATAACATAAGATAATATTCATAATTTAGTTTTATACTCCTGCAATTCAGTTAATTAGTAACTTATATTCAGTTAAGTTCTTTTACGAAGAGTTCTTTGCAGTACTTGCTTTTTCTGGCAATGTTTTCTTCAATGCTCTTTGTTCCAAGTTTGTGTGTAAAGGTCAGAAAACCAAACCTCTTATAGTTTTGGATAGTCTGACTGAATGAGTAAAAATTATTTTATTTTTCTTTCTAGTCTTGATCCAGAGCAAAAGGAAATGTTAATTGAAGTGATAGAAAAGCTTTTGAAGGATAGAAGTACGGTAAGAAACAGTTTTCTATTACACATGCTTATATTTTTAAGGAGTTTACTCTGGAGCCTGTCATTTAGTAGTATGTAATATGCTTTCCTAACCCTTGCTGATGTGATTTTATATGTTTTCAGATAGAAGTGTCATTGTGTATTTATGTATTACAGTATGACTGTAATAGTGACTGTCTCTTTGGATCGTGAGTCTGTTAATTAATCTGTTTTTGTTAGCATGTTTTTATGTATGCTTCTTTAAACTTTATTTTGAAAATTAAAGTTATATAATTATATGAATCAATGTACAAGTCTTTATGTATAAATTTTCATATCCACTTTTTCATTGGGACATTAGCTTGGTAATTTCAGTTAGTTTAGTAAGAATAGTGTTAGTAAGAATAAATTAGTTCTGTATGATGCACATTGTGCTTATTGACATCCATCTCTCTTGTAGTGTCTACAGTTATTAAAAAATTGCACTTGCTGTGCACTTGTTTGTTCTTTCAAATATCTTCACTTCCAGTCTGGTAAATAAGAGATGTTCTGGCAAAATTTCTGTAAATTTAACACTCCTGTTGTATTTTACCTGCCCTATATAGGTACAGATTTTCTGTATGAGCTCCTAGATGTTTCACAATGGTCTTACACTTTATTTTCTTTTATTCTGCAAGTAAGTTTCCCACGTATAACCTGGAAAGATAATGGAGCAAGGAATCAAAGTTAGATTTCGAATAGAAACCAGAATTGTAAATTAAAACATTCTCTTGGTCACTGTGTGCAGGTTACTAATGTAATGAATGGAATGCTTTTTGACTAAAGGAAAGTATTGCTAGGGTACCACATGTTGTGTTGCTTCATCTCCCATTTGCCAAGTGTTTTTGTATTCTCCATTGTTCTAGCACAGTCAAGGTGTTCAGGACATAAATGGTGCTGTTCTCTAAAAGACATCTTGCAACTTCCATTGAAGGGTTAGTGAAGGAGTGTGTTAGAGCTTAATGGCTCAGCAGACTGTAAATCAGTTAGTTATGTCTCCTGTTTGCATCTCTACTTGACCTGTACTTACTTGTCAGAGGCCTTTGTGTTTCTGTGAAGTTGTCCCTGCAGTGGTTCTTTTTGTATTTTCTTTTTGTGGCTCAAACTCTTGGTGTGTATGCAAACTGTGAGTGTGAGATTAAATTGTTTGTTCCTATGGAGGCATAAAAGACTAAAAAACCATCAAGAAAATAAAATCCCTGAGTCTTCTCTCTGTTTCCTAGTCCTTATTGCATATGGTAAGTGGCAAGTCAACAACCAGTCATTTACACATTTACTTTAACAATATGTTAGAGGAAAAAAGTATAGACTAGGTTTGGATCTTCTTTTTCCTTGCATTTGGAGTCACTCATAAGGACATCAGTGCTCATTGCTTAATATGTGCCATAATTCTAGTGCCTCTGTGACGCTGAATAATGGACGCTGCATTTGTGAAGATACCAGCTGAAACAGTAGTCAAAATTATGCTATTTTGTTGGCACATTCAAGAGGCTAAGAATGATGGACTAGAATCATGTCTTCTGAACCTGTTTGGAGACATAACATGGTTAACTGCTGCAACCTTTTCCTCCCTCTGATCCCTCTTGGTCTATTCCCTAGCAAGACCTGATTCCAGTCTGGACTGACACATCTCAGCTTCAGAAGTTTTACTCTTTTGGGAAGTGATATGAAGAGTAATTATTCCGAAAAGAAACCATACAAATCTTTCTTCAAGACTCTCTGAATCAAAACCAAGTATTAATGTGTGCTCTTTTTGTCAAAAACTCCACAGCTTGTGGTGATCTAAAGTAGATCAGTCCTTAATAGCTTTGGGAGGAATACTGTAGCATGGAAAAGCTTTACCTTAAGAAGCTATCTTTTGTCACATATGTCAGAGACTGAAATAGTTAATGATTTATGCACTCCAGGAGTTTGCAGGCTTTGACTTTTTGCCCTAAAAATGCAAATACCCCGGATGGACAGTTGAGCGCATCCCCTCAGTGCTAAGCCCTAAAAAGGCAAGAAGATGCCTCAGGTGGACTAAGCCCTAAAAAGGCAAGAAGATGCCTCAGGTGGACTAAGCCCTAAAAAGGCAAGAAGTTGCCTCAGAGGGGCTAAGCCCTAAAAGGCAAGAAGATACCTCAGGTGGCCAATCGGGCCCATCCCTCCCTCCAGTGCTAAGCTCTAAAAGGCAAACAACTCCTCATGCCAGGGAGGTGCAAAAGCATGCTGAGGGTATATAAACTGACTGGTGACTTTGAGAATTTGGGAGTTCTCCTTCTCCCCCACCGCCTGCGAATCATGACCATCGTTCTCAAGCATCGCTGGATCCCGTGGGCGGTGACTATGTCCATTTCTTTTGTACTCTCAGCTTCTCTTTTCCCTTACTCTCATCCTAGTTTTCCTCTCCCCTAAACAGTTTCTCCCCCCCCAAAAGTTATCTTTATGTTACATTGTTTTATGACAACACCCAAACTGTTAGCATGCTTGTTGATACAGAATTGTTAAAATAAACCTTACCAGTATATGTTTTCAGACACCAATTATTTAGTGTCGTTTCACTCTAATCCACCCCAAGGGAATTATTGATAAAAACCTGAGTTATCCCCCTCCCTTTTTCTGGGGCGGGTCATAACAACATACCACTGAATGTTCCCAGAAAGCTCCCAGAAAGCCCCACGTTACTACCAGAAAGTGCATAGGGCACAAGTGTTTCATTAGCAGGTAACTCCTATCTGAATGAGCTTATTCATTGTCCCTAATTGGAAAACAGCAGTTTACTCACAGTGGGGAAATCAGAGTGCCACTTGTAGCTAGTTCTAGCTTTTAAAATTGGAGGAGATGCAGCTGCTTATGGGTGATGGTCCTTGACTACAGGTTTGTACCTATGTAGCCTATGTAGCCTTAAGTTGGCAACTTTCTAGGTCTTAATGAGGCTGCTTCTGGGAAATTTGTGTTAATTTGACTCACCTTTTTGTATTCTCTCAGGGAAGCTGAACTTCTTACACTTAGTGTAAAAGAAACAGCTTCTTCTACATACATAAAAAGACAAAAGCTTTTTTTTATTTTGCAGCCTTGCTTACGAAAGTTATGTCTGGTTTGTTGCCATAGAAAGGCTATAAATGGGATAGAGCTGTAGAAGAGCAGCTTTTGGTCGTAGCCTCATAAAGTGCCTGTATTTGATTAATGCCTGTTTGACAATCAAAATGCCTGAAATTCATAGGATGATAATGTGGAACTGGAACTGCAAGTGTTTAATTGACACTAATCTTTGAATTCCTTCCATTAAAATGCACAGAAGCTGTTCCCTTACGTGAACATTAGTTGTCATCTCTTGATAGCTCTAATCTAGTATCAGCAAATCAGTTTGTTCACCAGAGTGGGAGAATCTTGGTGACTTCAGGAATTGTTGAATATCAGTGGTTCTCCACCTTTTTTTCACTTAATGGAAATGTCGGGTTATTTTTGGTATTTCTTGTACTTAAGGTCTGATAATCCTCAGACAAGCCATAATGTATTGTGTATTAACAACAGAATCTAAGAAAATCCACCATATTTTCTTTTGTTGTTCTTAATCTATTTGTTTTAGACATGTTTGGAGGGATAATGTAATTAGTAGCAATAACAATGTATATAAGTGTTGAATATTGTTCAAGTGATATTTGAGACTGTGCTTTAATGAGAAGTAAATTTTTACTCAAAATTTGTTTATTTTCTGTAACTATTTGACCTAAATCAGTGTTTTTGAAACTTCCTGGTATAATCCTGATGTTAATGAAGGATAGAACAGCTAATAAATATAGATGCCTCTAAATTTCTGTAAACCAGAACATGCTATTATGTGTTATTAATGCAGTTTTTGTTGCACAAAAAAGACACAATGTATTTAAATTAGTAAGACTCATTTTACATTTGAAATAGCAATAAACTATCTGTATGGGAATTTTACTACAGTAAAATTAAGCCCTTTTATCAGATGGTATGTGTTCATTTTTTTTTAGGTCTCAATCAGTAGTAAATTTTAATATAAGCTGAGGTAAGCAAAACTTAAAATGAGATGAGATCTAACCTTAAATCAGCACTTCATTAAAATTTCTGGTGAGACAAAGGAAAGATCACTCTACTCCTTGAGTGTCTTAACACAAAGATTCAATTAAAAGCCAAGCTCTTAGTTAATCTAAAATGCAAAATTATCAAGTGCAAGCCATTGTTAACATACTCTCAAGGGTATATTAACTGGGCATTAAGAGCCTACCAACAAGTCTGTGATTTTGTGCAAGTATATTTAAATTTTAAATGTGTTTGTATGTCTTTTTATTATTCAGACTTGTAACTCATCCTAGTTATGTTTTTACCCTTGCTTTATCTCAGGTTTTGATAAGCAGGTAGAAGAGCATGAATACTTGCTCCTTTTATTTTTCTAGTAATTCTTGATAATTGAGCAGCTGGATTGATTTTATGTAAAAGGGAAGATAAGACCATGTGTATTTTATCCTAAAATGATTTTCTTTGAAAGGAATATGGCTAGTCATGTAGTCATGTGTGAAAGTATAACTGGCTGGTTTAGAGGAAACTAGTTCCCTTTTCTTTCAATCAATTCTGTATTGCTTCACTCTAAATCTATTTTTTCCATTCACTTACCAAGCCTGATAATCTTTTGATGTGTAGGATTTAAGGCAAGATTTGTTGCTTAAGTTGCTTTTGGCATTCTGTGAGGGACTGAAGTTAATAGCCTGCGCTGCTCTGATTGTATAAACAACAATAAAAGTCAAGTTCATTGATGATATCTGAGTTACAGCAGTTAAAAGAAACGTTTAAAAGAAAAAATCCATGTTGGTATTGAAAAGGAATCATGTCTGTTATCCAAACCTGTAAAGCAAAAAGAACTTGTGACTTACATTCCTCCATCCAAATTAAAGTACCCCAAAGTGTATCAAAAACTGCATCTAAAGATAAAAGGCAGGATGTAGAACTGTAGTTAGAATGTAGTTGTATGGATGATGGGTGTATTAAAAATGCCCAAATTTATTTCAGGTTTCCATCTGTAGCTTTGATCTGTTTTTATTTGTTTGACTATATATTTTATTTGTTGTATTTGTTGGCTATATATCTCTGTTATAACCAATTTATTTTTCTGTTCTGGTGTGATAATTTACTTTATAACAGATACAACTTAGTATTAACTCTGAGGGGTGAAAAGACCTTATGCAAATAGATGAGTATTTAGATTTCTTTTGCAGACTGTGTGGTTACTACATGAAGTGCAGATTCTTTCCAAGTGAGATTCCTTTGATTAAAAAATGATCCTAGGAATTGGTGATGGCTTTGCAATGAAAGTCTTGGTCTTTTAATCTAAAGCAGTATATTTAGCGATAATGGAGAAAGAAAGCTGGGCTCTCTTCTTTTTAACAGTAGGCTTCAGTTAATAATGTAATATTTCAGTTTAGAACCCAAATGTGTAGTGTAAAACAGTATTTTCTTAACTTATTGATTTAATGTTGGTAAATGCTTCACTTTTGTGGAAAAAAATTACTGAGTTCATGCAGATGTTTTATTGTGATATATCTATTATCCAGCTATTAGAAGATAGATGACTGATCTTTTCCAGTTTCCTTACCTCCAGAAAATTGAAATAAGAAGGGGAATATCATTTGGGCTGCATGATTAGGGCAGGTGGGGTGGCCATTAATTTAAAAGAGAAGAATCTTGGCAGCATGGGCCAACTTGCACTGTATTATCAATCAAACCTCGATGCACTTCTTGTGATGACCCAGCACTCTCAGGTTTTTGCAGCGTTAATTAGAATTCATGACAAAATAGATGCAAGGAAACATTTTGTACCCTTCATAATTTTATAGAAAATTTATTGTTATTAGAGGAACCATTTGCTTAGTGTGATTTTTTTCATTACCAACTTGTCAACTAGCATAGATAATCTGGAGAAAATATGAACTCCATAGATTGGGTGTCACTTTTGTTGATGGTTCATATAGTTTACCTTGGAGCACAGCTAATGGCTGAAGTTCATAGCAACAGCACAGAAAAATGTGGCATCCAGTGAAAGACAAATGAACCATGTTTATTGCTTTAATATAAAAAATACATAAATGGAAAGCAGCATTTGAATTTGACGAGCTCATTGCTAGTTTTGTTGGAGTGATTTATATTTTCTCCTTATACAAAAAGCTACTATTGACACAGTGAGATGGAAATTAACTGACTGTTTTTTAGAAACTGATATTTTTTGGTTTTATATTCTGATTGAATCATTTTGTTTTAATTCTAAATATTTTTATGGAATGTTGAGCATTTAATAAACAAGATTATTAGCTGTTCCACTGATGTTTAGATATATAGTAGGATCAAACTATAGGGGAAAAAGTGTCAACTGAAAAATAATCTCTTATTAAGACAGCATTAAGAAATCTTCTCAGAGAAATCTTCTTGTCACCAGTGCATTTTCAATCTGTCACATTCTTTTTTTTTTTTCCCCCTTTCAAATGAAAAGCCTAATTTTAGAAGATGCAATAGTGGAGAGAGAGGCATGATCTTAAATAGTGTTATGAATGAATGGCAATTCCTGTATTAACTTGTAAATCTAGTGACTTGCCACAGGAATAAAATGCTTGTTTGTCCAGTACACCTCTTGCATTTCATAGCATATGTTCAATTTTTTATTAATAACCTTTAATATCTTTTAATATCTTTGTCAGTTTTCACAACTGACAGCATTCTCGTTGTAAACTTGAGTGGGTGACTGATATGACTTGAAATAAGTAATTATTTAGAATTCTTGTATTTCAGTTTGACTCTTTCTTTGCATTAAATTATTGTGTTTTACTCACAGTAACTGAGCTCTTAAAAAGCCAGAAATGTTCATAGGATATATTTTCAGTTTTAAATTATCTGAGCTAGTGTTTTATGTATTTTATGTCAGCTTTCAGACTAAATCATATCCAAATGAAGGAGAAATACAGCAAAATGTGTGTACTGGCTTGCTAGCAGTAAAAGGCAAGTGTATCCACTCCACGATTACCACGATACCATGAAGGACATCTGTGTTGTCCTTCACATATGAACCTAAAAGGGTATTTATATATTTATATATTAGATTGTGACTATTCTTGTAGTCATAAACTGATCTGTGTGTCAGTCTCCCTCACCCCAGAGATGGGACAGTGACCTACAAAAAGTCTCTGTGGTCCAAAAATATCATCCCTCTCTTCTAAAGCTCCAGGTCTATCACACCGTCCTCTGCAAGTTGGCCTCAACTGCAGTTCAGAGTTCTGCATCCTGATAAAGAGATTTCCCACCTTTTCAGTCTTCCATACTCAGCTTCTATGGTCTAATTGAATACCTACTCAGGACTGATAGTGATTTGCTTGGGATTAATCACTGCCTTCTGCTGAGTTTTGAATCCCTATGTAAGCATCAACTCGCAGCAGTTTTTAATTACAGAATAGCTTACTGCAGCACGTTGTTGTGAAGAAAGTTTAGTACAACAGCATATAAAAAAGAGCTTTTGTTTTTGTGATACAGCAAAAAATAGTAAATTATTTTAGATGTAAAGTGTATTTAGCTCTATCAAATAATCAAATTTTGCTCCCTGGAATGAGTTGCGTACTTGCTGGGACCAGCAGGTACCAGTATGTGGATGAGGCTGGAGACAATAAATGCAACTTCACGTTTATTCTTATTGGTAATTCATAAAATCCCCACAGAGCCTGAGACTGGTTTAGCATAATAGCAAGACTATATTCTGAGCTGTTTTCTTTCAATTGTAATGTTGGGCGCATACTAATAAACCACATGTCAGCCAAATGCAAGGAGAAAAATGTAACATATGAATATCATTGTATTTAATATTTCCCAAAAAGTACCATTTCAATAAACTGCACTTCTATTTAATTGCTTACTTTAAGTCATTGGGGAAATTTTAGAGGTTGAAATGCAGATCCCTAGTGCTCAGATAGAATATGACATTAATTTGCTGCCAGAAGGCTATACTGCATGCATGCTAACTGCATACATATCAGCTGCTTCATATAAAGTCTCATCATTTTAGTTATTTGACTTAACATGTACTCTGACACAAAGCAAATCTTAATTAAAGCAATTAGAAGAGAAAGAATAGTAGTTCCAGGCACACAATCATATGCCCTTATAAGGCATGGTCAGCTTTTGAGCTTTTCTCACAGTTTGATTAACCTGCTGACAGAATTTTAACTGGAATTCCAGTATGTGTTTCCTTCCTTTATTTTAAAAGAAAATACCCTGGCAGAAGGTTTCAGTAATCCCCAAGGTGTTAGCATGTTGATCACCTATTTAATTTTCTCATAAAAACAAAGCTATTTTACAATCATAGTCAGCATGAGAATCTTTTTGTATAAATAAAGATTTATTTCTTATGGAGGCAAAAAATTGTGTGAGAACATGACAAGACATAAATGATCCATTCCTGCAATTTTGTAATTGGTAGGGAAGGGCTGAACAACATGCAGAAATTATGTTTGTGTTCTTTGAGGAAAGGTATTAATATATCTCTTTATTGTATTACTCATTTTTGTGGCTTTTTTTTTGCAGAATGTATTCATAAAACTAAATATAAAATTTCCTATGACAGTTAATTTTTCCGTATTGAGAGAGAAGTTTGGATTCTGATAATGCCAGGGAACTTGCCTCAGCTCCTCTTTCTTTTGATCAGGGCAGTGTTGATAAGAGAATCCTAATAAATGTTATTGGGCATATTGCTGTGTTTTACTTCTTGTTGTTTCCTGTTACTTCTGAGTTAATTGCAAGTTCTCTGATAATTTATTTGGAAGCTAAAACTGAAAAAAAAAAATTATGCCTACGTTGCACTGTCTTCAGGGCTGGGAAGTAGGATTTATGTGAGTAATAGAAACAGCAAGTGTTTTCTCTGTTCTAATAATATTACCCCAATTCTGTTTTGAGTAAGATACCATTTCTATGGACTTATTTTTTATTGTTGTTGTTTTGTTTGTTTTTGCTGAATAGAAATAATTAAAGATTGCTGAGAATTGCTAGTATTAATTCTGATTCTCAATTGTGGATGAACTGCAGAGGCAGTACTGACCTTCTGGTTTATATTTTGTTTTCTAGCTGGTAGCTGGGAGCGTTGTGATGGCATTTGAGGAAGTGTGTCCAGATAGAATAGATCTGATTCACAAGAACTACCGAAAGCTCTGCAACTTGTTGGTTGATGTGGAAGAGTGGGGTCAAGTTGTTATAATTCACATGTTAACTCGATATGCACGTACGCAGTTTGTAAGCCCATGGAAGGTAAGCTTGTGACTTTTAAAAATAGTATTGTGAGCCTACATTCTGAATTATTTCCATTGTTGTATGTACTTAGTCTTTTAAGATGCATTTCTATGGGGATTTAATACCAATCAAATATGTGAGTCAGCTCCCTAAGACTTCACTAACGCAAATCATTTACCCTTCTTCAGAACGTGAGAATTCTCCTTCCAAGCTATAACCTTTTCTGCTTTACCCATGGCACATCCCATGGGCAGCAGAGAGACTCCTTTTTCTGTGGTTCTTTGAGCCAGATGACTCTTTGCTTTTACATGAGTGAGAACAAGAAAGTTTTATCATTCTGTCCTGACACTGGGTAGAATCAACTTGCATTTTAGATATGAATACCCAGTATCACAACATGAGAATCATCACTCTACTTGTCTAGGCTTTGCTAATGTGCTGAGGCACTGTGTGGAGACTTGAATATAAGTATTTGAAATGTGAAATACAAAAAACATTGTATTTTCATTTTAACGATGTGAATATGAGTATACTCTTTAGCATTTATAAAAGGAGATATTCAAAATACAAATCCTGTCACTTCTTACAACTAAAAAGGGCACAGCTCAAGAAATTGATGCTATTGCTTCAATATGGATTTAACTCTGAATAACAATTTAAATTAAAAGACAGAGTACTTCTGGAAAGAACTGTATAAAATTACTCCACAGTTCTGGTTGTTTGCGTTTATTACAGGCTTGGGGATATTACTAATGTTAAGTTTTACCATTTAATTTGAAAACCATTCATGTTTAAAGATGTACATTTCAGTGCAGATTATTGTGGTTTGTAATTAGCATATTAACAATTTTTAAAGATTTCTTTTTTCAGCATTGGAATAGGGAATGACACCAACTATCACTGAATTCATTCAAACTGTCTTTTAATACCATTTGCCTGGGAATCAAGACTGAAATGCCATGGCATTCTGTGTTAATATATGTATAATTTGTTATGTGAAAATAATCATAAGGAGTTGTATTTGGACAAACAGTTAATTTCAACCTGATTTAGTTTACGGTTATATTCACTTCTTAAATAAGGAGGGATTATAACAAACAACAAAAATGTTTGAAGTAGAATCATACTTCTGCACTACTAGTTAGATTCTGAAACACTCTTTTTTGTTTCTGATGAAAATGACATTGTTTATAAGAACACATTTTTCCAGAAAATTGCTTAAGGTAAGGAAAGTATTTTTAGATTATGAGAGATTTAGGTTATATGTTTTCCTAATGTCCTTGAGGCAGAGTGTTTACTGCACGTTCCTTATTGGAAGAAGGCAACTTTCATTCTTCCCTCCGACATTTAGAAAGAATCAAAATTGTTTATCTGCTTTGCCTAAAGCTACAGTTCTGCAATTTGTTTCAGCCAGTTTTAGTCTGTGACTGGACAAAGGAAGGTTAGAAGAGGAGGATGAACTTCTATCTTGGACTGAGAGGTTGGAGGTCTTAATGGGATTTTCCTTCTTTAAGGCTCTAATGTACTTTCTTTCACTGAAACTGGATGGATGACAGTTGTTGCTGTGGCCTGTGCTCTAGGATTGTAAAAGGTTTGTGTGACAATACTGACAGCATCAACCTAAAATTAGTCATTAGTAGAATAGTATTAATAACACTTTGTTTCCACTTTCAAAAGCTTTGATGTAAAATTTAGTTTGTCTACCTCCTCAGGAGTTAAATTAACAGATTTTTTTTTTTTGTGGTGCTACTTGAAATGCGTGCCTTTGTCAATAGGTTCTTAAATGAACTCATCATACAACAGTCCATCTTTTGCAGTAGAAGAGATTTTTAATTTAGTTTATTTGCATCATTATGGATCAGTATTTAGGCTGTTTATATGTAAATGTATGATTTGAGGAACAATTAAGTGTTGACAAAGTAGATTGCAGTCATATCAACTGCAGTGCATTTTCCATAGTTTTTCTAACTGACATCTTTGATGATAAATAGTGGATGCCAAGTCAAAGCCGATTATACAGTGCACTAGGAATTCATGGCGCTGTCAGGGAGAAGACCGATTGACTTTAAATTTACATATTAATGAGAAGATTTGTTAAGAGGGTGCTTGACTATAGAAAATAACAGCATATTTATAGGGCACGACACTTTATAAATAAAGCTGATACAGGAAAATGGAAATTAAACCTATCAGATTAATAAATTCGAGGCTGCTAAAATGCATATTTGCATTTTTATTCAGTAAAATTTACCTTACTTTTTGAGAAACATATGTTGCTTTTGTTCAAATTGAGCTAATTCCTAGCAAGTAATGGTGTAGTGGTTTGAATTGATTTCTTTTGCATTTAGAAATCTAAGGAAAAATTTGGAATACATACCAGTTATGGAGAAAGATTATTTTTTTTTTTTAAGCGATATGCTTAAAGTTGTTACAAAACTTTAATCAAATTACCCATTAACCAAGAATACTTAGTTTTATATTCCTATTTTTAGCTTCTTTGAGGGGTATAATTTTTAATTCCAGTTGTAAATGCTGTGAGAAAGAATATCCTTGGTTTATGCTATTTGTTTTAAAGTACTTGGAGGATGTTTTTTGAAGTAGTTACATGTGAATACAGTTTCAGAATAACCTTTTTTTCTGTATGAATTGTATTCAGCTTTAACATGTGTTAACTGGAATGAGAGCATGACACTGATATGGGAATACCTGCTTGGGAACCAGCAAAAACAATTTCAAGTTTGTTGGGAAACAGCATACATGATAGCAGATAAAACTGTGATGAATTCCAGCATAAATATTTTGCCCTGCTCTTGTTGCAGAAGTTGTTGGGACTGCCAAGTTGTTTGCAAACATCTCCTGACCCATAACAGCTTGCAACTTATTCTAAAATAAAGTTGTTGTTGGTTTCAATGAATACATTGAGTTGCAGTCTGGCAGCTCAGAAACTGATTTTTGGGCCATCCTTGTTTCTGCAAGATAAGGATCGCAGGAGAGAGTGGCTGCTTCAGCTGTCCTGGTGCATAAATTTAACAGCAAGCGCATGTCCCATCTGGGAGGGGTGTCTTCTAAAAACAACTGACTTGGTCAGAAGTCTTTGTATAGAGCAAAATGGAGCTGGGAAGTGTAGTCTTGCAAAAAAACCAGTGACTCTCAGGGCTGCTCAGCTTCATTTCAGACAATTGAACATTACATAAATAAACTCTCTTGATGTTCAATTAAGATCAGAAAAAAACAGTGAATTCATTTTGATCATGGGCTTCCGTTATAACAAAGTTGCTGATAAGGACTTCTGAGAAGCTTACATTTTTAGGATTAATTATAGAAGTATTGCTCAATTTAAAGTGCTCAGAATTTACTAAGAATAACTGATGGCGTGGAAGGGAGGGAAGGAGGAATTCAGCCTGAAGAAAATAATCTAAAAGAATAAGAAATTTTACAAGAAAAATGTGAAGTATTTGAATGTGTATATGCCCTAAACCATGAATTGTGAAAAGGAGCCCAGCTCTCAGTGAATTACAGGAAGAAACAGATTGAAAATATTTATTTTGATTGATAACTCTGACAAAATGTTGAGGTCCCTTCTGACTTCAGCTGTTCTGTGATCTCTTGTCTTTTGTTAAACGCTTTAAAATGTTTCCTGCTCTTGCGGTATTTTCTTAGTATCTTTTAGTGAGGAATTCCTAGTGTATTCCATGAAGGTCATGGTTATGTGTGATACAATTCAGTGTCTAATGGCTACTTAAGTCAGCTCAGCAGTGTCTAATATTACTTTAAATATTTTTTTGTTGTTCTTGTTCCCTGTGTTGGGGTGCACATTGAGTGAACTGTAGTTGTGAACAATAAAGCTTCAAGCACAACACATAGGAAATACTGTCTATTTTTAACTGTTGTAAAACTTGTTAACAGTGTAATGAGCATTCTGAATCAGTTCTTCTGGTTTACTGCAGGAGAGCTTAATAAAACTTCTAAATCCTCTGCTGAGAGGCTGAGAACAGAATGGAAAGGTGTATTCAGGGTAATAGCCTCCTATTAACTAGGTTACCCAAACAAAGTAGTAAAAATGAAACAAGCTGAAATATTTTAAAAATATTTTGTATGTATATCATTCATTTAATAATGAATCAACCTGAATATACCTTTCCCTTCTTTTGTTCTCCAACTCTCAGTAGAGGATCTAGAAGTTTTATTATGCGCTCCCACAATAAGAAGATGAATAGTTACATATTTAAGAAACATTCAGAAAAGCATTCATTCTTTTAGGATAAAGTTAATCATGGTATGTTATGTATTACTGAATTGACATATCATCTACAGTCCATTGTAGACCTCAGTGAAGTTTCTTTGTAGATATATCAGATGATAGTTTCACTGATTATTCTATTTTTTTCCACTGCCCTAAAAGATTGTGAGGCCAGAGAATTTTCTTTCCCAGAGATCAAAAGCACTCATCTCACCTTCAGCTTCCACTAAGCTGTCCTCTTCAGACACCAGAAAACCACATACATCAGTAGATTTACTTAACCCTGATTTGGCTGATGCGAACGAAAGATTAAATTTAGGAAAACTAGTTTACAGTGAACTTATGTGTTATGCTACTTATTTCTTCCATTCTTAATGCATCTATTAGAATACTCAGTCTGAATCAGGGCGGTATGGATTCAGTTACTGCTCCCTTTTTGTGAGAGCGCAGTACTCCCTGGCCAGGTTCTTTTAGATATGCATGAAGTGGGGTTAATGCTTAATATCAGAGGCACTTATTTGAAGATATTTAGTGAAGCATTTGGGTCATAAAATGGACTGGCTAGCTATTTTACTGTCACAGCAGTTTTGTTTCTTCCTATAGTTAATTATAGGGGGGTTTTTTCCTAATAAGATGAGAATATCTTAACACATAGATTTATAACAAAAAATTACCTCAGGTTGGTTGTGAGAAGTTGATTACTTGAAATTCTAAGCAAAACTTTATGGTCATTATGAATACAATCTAAGACTATTTTCATGATCACTGTATAATAGCC